CCTAAGACTCTTCAATCATGAATTTATTCTTATCCTCATCATTCATTGTATCATCACTTTCTTACTCGTTCACCTTATTTTCATCCTCATTCTTCTTTTGTTCCTCTTCAAAATCCAAAATTCGTCACTTCCTTGGAGCAACTGAGAACTCAAATATTGAAAGCTCAAATGAGAAAACTTCCTTCATAAAAGTTGTTTATTTACGTGATTCCTATAATATGCTCCAATTTCAGCTCAATCCGACCAGCATAGGCTCTGACAAGTTGGTATGATCACAATAAGTTTACCATTTCCTGATTTCACAATAGTATGCTCGGTTTCAATAAGTTTCTGTGCTTTCCTGTACTCAAATGACTTTGGTTCCTTCATCAAAGTTGTTTGAAATGCTGTCTACTATAACATATCAAAATTTTAGGTTGTTCGAACTTCTATAGCCACCTTGGGAATGTTTAGAGTGGAACTTGTTTATAGTCTTCGACCTTAGTTCCTTCCCTCGGTTTCAGTCCAAAACACTCATTTTGAAAGCTCAAAACACTATAGTCTCTTCATGATAGTTACTCCAAATTCTCCTCTTTATAACATATCCAAAGGTCAGCAAAACGCAACAATTATAACTCTCTAAATATTGGTATGAACAAAACTTGTTCATTGATTATATTGAATTTCTTGTTATAAATGTGTACTTTCTCTCAAATGGCTTGTTACTTATCATTCCATTGATCAAATTAGCCACTATCATCTCAAGTAAATGATTATTTGAAGGTATGAAGCTCATCTTCATATTGTCTCTTTGAGTACTAGTTGTAAATCAAGTGTTGGTTAGAATGCCCCAATGACATATATCTCTTTCAAAGTGTGTTTCTATGAAGTTCTAGATCATATCGATGTGATTTTGTACCAATTTCATTCTGGGATTTTGTTACATCAAAATTGATATCTCAAGGGTTATTTCAAAGTTGGTTTTGTGCCATTTGAATTTAAATTGATTTTTTTGTGAAATTTCAAAGTAGAGACTATGCTGTTGGAATTGTTCTGATTCTACCGCATTCCCTGTTTTGAATACGTGTTTGAAAACTTCCTGAACTTGGATTTTCATGAAATTTTAGTATGTTTTACTTTCACGTATTTTCTTCAAATTTGGAAAGTTTTAGCCATTTTAGTTGTAAATTGAAATTTTGGCGAGTTTTCAAAATAAAGTGTACAAACCTTAAAAAAAGAACGTTATGCAGCCTAGTCTGTTTTGGTTTCTATTTTGACATGGTTCCTTAACCCTCATTTTTATCAAATTTTGATATTTTTAATGTTTCTATGTCTAGTTGCGATATGGAAAGTTTTACATTATTTTGATTTGAACTCAATATTTAGTGAATTTTCAAAGTTAACGTGTTCCAACCCAAATGTTTAGCAAAACTGAAGTTTTTGTTTTAAATTGATGGTTTAAATTTTTTGTATAAGTCTAGAGCCGAACCATCTGATTTTAAACATCCCAAAGAGTAGAACTATTATAGGAGGGGAATAGATTAGTTTTTCCTTGACAGTTGGTTCTATGCTTGCTTGGATGTGAGGTTAAGGAAGTAACAATCGTGTCGAACAACGTATCCACTGTTTTATGGGGTTTTAGGTCTACGTGCGTTAGTAGGACACTCAAACTTGTTTCCTTATTTCCAGTGAATTTTAATCAGTAAATTATCTTAACTAGGTGTTCTATTCTGCGTACTTTCGAGGACGAAATCGCATAAGGTTAAGCTAGCTGGACATGAGGTAGGGTTTGATTGGGCTATATCACTTTTAATCTTGGTGCTTATATATAGTACTATAAATATGAATATTATTGTTACTATGTTCGATGAATATTATTTGATGTTATGTGAATATTATTATTGATGTTTTTCCGTGGATATTAGTTGATGTTGGATGAATATTATTATTCATGTGATTAAGCCTGATATATTATTGTCATTATCTGTGTTATTATTCATCAGAGATAAATGATGTTTGCATTGCATTCCATATGCATCATAAATACAATGGTGTTTGGGGTGTGTGTGTGTGTGTCGTTTGAGGTGTTGAGAATTAATGACTAACTCACTGCCCTTTTAAGATCTTGTTGTTGATGGACTTTGGACAAAGAACTCAATGATGGATGAGTCTTACACACACACACAGAAATTAACCAAGCACAAATGACACAAGTGTTTATAGAGGTTCAGCAAATTGCCTACATCCTCTTTGGTGATCACCTTGAGAAATTTCACTAATGAAGATAGGTTACAACTTTGGTTTACAAAGGAAACCCCCTTAGAACACTACCCTCACAATCTGTTTCTCTCACACCCTTGCTCAACACCTTGATACACTTAGAGAACTCTCTTGCTCTCACCTTGGTTTTTCTGAACAAAGCTCTCTAAAGAAACTCTAACTTGTTTCCAGCTTTTGCCACTACATTTGTTCAACATTCTTTCTCCCTTGTGTTATCTTACTTCATCCCATTACCTACACAGGCCAATGGACAAGAGATAGGATATCTGATTGTCCTCCACGTTCTTTCCTTTTAGTCACCACTTAGACTAAGGGTCAGATCAGGTAGGTAATACAATCCCACTCAGCCACCTCCATTAAACCAGAAAATGGAGAGGAAATTATTCAAAACAAGATAACCAATTAGCCATGAGTGCTCTCCCAACTATCCAGCAAGTAGTCAAC